TTTGAAGTGTTATTTGTTTACAGTATCCCCAGAGAGACTTCAAGCCATCTGAGGCAGCTGCTGCTGGGTCTACTGCAGCGCAACCACAAAGACCGCATGGACTTTGGTTAGTGAACATCAAGCACAGTGCAATCAATTAAATAGAAGACCGCTGTATGTGGTGTTGATGCACAAATGTGAATATATTCCTGTGAATATAATGTTTTACTTTATAAAGTGATTAAGAAATAACACCCACAGAGAAGAAAACCCTGTGTGTGTGTTGTGTCCTCGTATTTGTATGTGTTATTGCAAACAATCTGAATGTAGGAAATGACACTGACACACTACTTCCTATTAATTATGTTTCTTCTTGTGTTGTTGGTAGATGAGTTTTTTTGTCATCCATTCCTGGAGGCTAGCTCATCCGTTAAAAAGAGTAAGTAATAAACAATACACTTGCTAACAGATTAATACAAAAGTGCAAAACGTCACTTCTCCCAGTATAAAATGAAACTCACATAGTGATATGAACATGATAACAAAGCTTGTACTTTAGTAAAGGATTATGGTGTTAAGGTGTGAAAGGTGCTTTGTGAACCTTTCTTGCATGTTTATATTCAGTGTTTTTCACCAGAATGCATTGTGTGTCCTCAAGTTGTGAAACACATGTTGCATTTTGTTGCAGCAACTCCTACTGTGACCATGACTTGTTTCCCAAGCTCTGCATCTGCCAGCTCGTGTAGCAGCTCTTCCACCTCTCATCTTGCCTCACCACCGGTTTGTGTTTACTGTTTCTGGATTATTTCCTTGAGTCTCTGTCTGTGCCTGAGTAATGAGGCTGGGTTTTTTTTATGTACAGTCCAAGAAACCAATCAAATTCTGCCTTTCCTACCACTGCTTTCTTTGTTTATCTGCTACTTTCTGTCTCCCTGTCTCTGCAGCAGTCTCTTGCTGAGGTTCAGCATTTGCGTGCCAAAGCTCTGGCTTCCCCTACCCAGGAGGCCACTGGTTTTCTCCTCAAGGACTCATGTGGAGGGGGTGGCAGCAGTAAGAACTCCTCCTCCTGTGACACAGATGACTTTGTCATAGTGCCTGCTCACTTTACCAGTAAGAAAATATTTTTTATCATTATGTCCCCTACCAAGATGTCACTTGCAGATGTTCATAACCAAACTTGACTCCATTTCAGTAGAATGACCTCTGAAGTATTTGAAGCCCTCTTTTAGATAATTTTTTTCATAGACTGGCTATTATGGGGCATTTACAGCATTTGATAAGCTTGAGCTCTGCTGTACCTAGACATCAGTTCTCTGTTATTCTTCTCAATCTTTGTTCAAAATGTTCATTTTTCATGTAGTATTTGAAAATCTCTTTTCGCTCTTCTTTGATGTTGCAGTTCTTTTAATTTTTTTTGTGGGGGGGGGTTCCAGCAGGTGAGCTGACATGTGAGAGTAAAGTGCTGCAGGACAGCCTGATGAACAGCGGGTGAGAAGCAAGATTGCTTATTCATAGATGTCCATCACCTGTGTTAGACTACTTGAATGGAGTTGTGTGATAGTGTTACACAAAGCAACAGATTAAGGAGGAGAATTGATCTTCAGTAATTATATTTACATTCAAATTGAGAACATGCTGAATTTAATTTTAATATGGCACATTAATAAAGTCCTGGTGATATATCTCCTGTTTCCTTTCTTCCCTTTTATCAGCTCTCTTCTGGCTTCTGCTGGTCTGTGCAGCCAAGCCAAAACACCACCACACTCGCCATACCACAGTGGCTCTCCAAGTCCTGTCAGGTAGCATCATGTAGTTGACTGGTTATGATGAGACATGAACTGCTGTGAAGCTCAAATGAAAGGACACTAAAGGATATGGAAAATGGGGTGGGGTGGATGAATTTCCAAGTTTATCAAAGAATCCTACAGGATAATATCACTTCAATGAAGCACTTGTTTGTGGTTAATGCTGCCAAGTTAGCTTCAACCAGTTATTAATTCTAATGATCCACCAGCTCTATGAATGCTTTATAAAGACATAAAAAAGTATAATTGTGTGATGATAGCTTCAGCACATAGTGTTTGTGCATACCTGTATCTTAGCTGAAGACTGGATCACATTTATGACCAAATCATGTAGAACACCAGGTGATTCACCTACTTTGTTTGTCTTTGATGACCTCTGATTATGTCACGTTAGCCTTACAAACACTATAATGTTTATACAATATAAACACTGTGTAGGAGAGGCAGAGTTGTCAGGAACACTGTCTTCCAATCTTCAAACTATTTCATGTAACCATGTATACTTGTCTGTTTCCACACATGCACGCAAACTATCTTGTTTTGTGTGTTGCACTGTTGATCTCACTGTTATTGGCAGGCCCACTGAGTTCTTGGGAAGTAACTGTGATGGCAACTATGGAAACCATGGTCAGTCCTTGCCTATCCCAGTCCCCACTCAGGTCCAGAACTACCAGCGCATGGAGCAGAACCTCTATCCTACCAATCAGAATGGCTCACCACGGTCTGTATCCACAAACGCAATGTCAATTTGTATGTTAGCATTTATATTTCTTAAATGGACTGCAGTTATTGATGAACTTCACATTATTAGGTTGTCAGCGCCAGTGCGTCGTTGCAGCAGTGGGAGCTCGTTGGGCTTTGCTCGGACTGGCCCTTCACCACCCTATGGGCAGGGAGCAGTTACCACCAACCGCAGGTTCTCCCTGGGAGGCGCCAGACCTCTCCAGCTCTGCCCTCAAGGTAGCTCAGAGGCTAATAGTTGCTTTTTACCCTACTTTCGATCTCAGCTTTACTCATGCCATTACAAACTGAATGAGAATTTTGGCAGTATTACACAATCAATGACCAGTTAAACGAAACATTCTCTGGTTTGAGCTCCTCATAGGTGATGATTCACAGCTTTCAGTTTTAAATCATTGTAAAAATTTTATCTTTGGGTTTTGGACTGCTGGTTGGACAAAAGCAGCAACATCATTTTGGGCTCTGGGAGCTTGTGATGAATTTTTTTCACAGTTTTGAACAGAATAAAAGATGAATTGATTAATAAAAACTGCCAATTTGAGGCAGTACATATTTGCACCCCTTAAAGGGCAACTGGCTTATGATGGATGTGGTTGCCTGAAAATGGGACTACAGACACAGGAGGAAGATTGTGGATAGCACCGGTCGAGCTTTGTCATCAGTCAACCAACATCACGTTCTTCAAAGAACAACACGTTCTTCACGTAATTGAACTAATTCAGGCTAACATGCTGATATCAGGCTAAAATAATCCTGTTAATTCTTGTCTAGCTCATTTTAAAGCAGTTTCAGGATAGATTTATTGAATCTGGATGAAGTTATCTTGCTCTAACACTTAAAATAAATAAAGGCAAAAGGGGCAGAGAGTTGAAACCTTGATCAGAGTTCTGATCATATGACTAGCACTTGGCACTTATGTCAGGTGTGTTAGAGCACGCTTGCATGGATTAGACCAGGAGTGATGTTGGTGCTTAATTGGACTTCTCAATGGCAGACATGCAAATTAATTTTGAGGCATAATAATAATATTGTGAATTAATTTTAAACCAGCTCTGAAGAACAAGAAAAACAGACTCATATCTACTGTACATACAAAGAACAGTGTCCTGGTCAGTAGTTTTGAAAGCTACTGATTGAGGAAATGAACCAGTCACCCACATACACAGACATACTCCTTCTCACCATCAGTTGCTCTTGTCTCCAAGTGCATCATGCTGGCACAGTCTCTTAGCTGTGTGGACATGCATGCCAGCAGGGCAGCGGCTATTAGGCAGGGCTTGTCAATCTCTGATATCTCTCTGTAGATTTGTTGTTTTCAGCCTGACTGACATTTCATTTTGCAATGCCACCTGCTGCCTATAAACAGAAATATTCTGACCTCCTTCTGTCCCATTTTCCTTAGCTGCTCAGCATGTTGAAACCCGGCCGATTTCTCAGCAACACCCACAGACGACAGGACTGGGCACACGACTCCACAGTGCTCCTTGTTTGTTGGAGTGCACCAGTGGCGGTGGCAGACACAAGATTCGGAAGCAGTACTCAGACCCGGTGGTGGCTCCTTCAACAGGCCTGATGACTGTCTGCCCCCTACACACTTCACCCAGACTAAGTGAACTGTTGCAGCGCAGCCCCCTTCCCACCATCCTGGGCTCCCCTTCCAGGGTTAGGAGAGACAGAGAAAAGAATGTGTGTGCATGTGTTATTTAGAGATACGTACATTAGAACAAGAAAAGACTGCGAAGCAGTTTAAACAAACCTCTGATACCTCTCTGTTCTCCCAATTGTCTCTCTTTGCAGACCATCCCTCCATTTGAATTCCCCAAGCCTCCCAGCTCGCCAAACCTTGTGACCTTCCTGACACATCAGGGTTTGGTCATGGGCTCACCTTGCAGCAGGACTGCCCCAGCAGAGCCCAGGGAGCCAGGACACTACGCACCTCTGCAGGTCACCCAACCTGCACACTGTATCCACAAAATGCATGAGGATACCAATGGATTTGGAAGGTTAGATTATTGTTTTGCTGTTGTTTTCTATTCATGTTTACTGTGCTGATGCTGTAAATTTGTTTGCCTACAAATACAGGATACACAGGTGGGCCTGTGCAATGGCAGACTGGATAAAACAAACAAATTTTTAGTTGCAAATGTATCATCTTCTTCAGCTTAGACTGTACATTGCTGGATTTAAATTTTTAAGTTCTTGCGTATTTATCACATAGTGTATCCTGTTTTGAAGATGAAGCATTTTTACTAGATATGTCTCAATCCAATACTAAGTATCAGTATTGGTGCCGATCTGGGCATATTTTACAGGATCCGTATCATCAGAATTAAGCAGATCCAATTCCAGTTTTTATTTAGTTCTACTGTCCTTTATTTGAGTGGATTAAGTTTTATGCTTTTGTCCAACAATGCTATGACAGCAGCCACCTTTTGTTAATACAGAGTTATTAACATGTTAAACTATCGGAATTGGTTTGCTTACACAAACTATTGTATGTTCACATACGGAAGCAATTTAGTAGTTAGTATCTGCCCTGTAATGAGTCAGGTGTTCTGAGGGTGTCTTGTCCTGCTCCCAATTATTCATTTATTTACTTGTTTTATTTAATTTTATTTTTAGTCATTAATACATTTTTATGATATTTTTAAATTATTTTTAAGAAATGTTTTATTTTTATTGATATATATTTATTTATTGTAAAAAAATTAAGGAATCAGATTCATATTGGGGCCAAAAACCTGGAGTTTGACAACAGCTATTTAATAAATTAGGATGTTTGAATAATTCATATCACCTTATTTCTTTTTTTGTTCTCTGCTCTGTGTCTTTGTTTCCGATATCTATTGTGCAGGTCTCAGAGTGCTGGCCGTCTGTCTGACGTGTTGCTGATGGCTGCATTTGGACCAGGTGGGCCTGTGGGTGAACGAGGCAGCGCAGAGAATCTGACCTCTGAAAGAGCCATAGACATAACAGGTAGAGTTGTCTGTTGATTTCAAATGTATGAAGATTTGCATGCAAGTAGTGTTTTCTGTTTGAGTGGTTCAGTCTGTCTTTGACCAGGGAAAGTGTTATACGTATGTGTTGCAGTTGGTATATTCAATTACCTCTACTCCTCAGATAGAATTGCCTCGAGATGCAAAATGAATTACAATGTAAAAGTTCACAGTAAAGTTGTATTGTATTGTACAGCTGATAAAGCTGTCCAAATGAGTCAAATTTACATTCATGGTATTTTCTGAAAAAAATATCAGAAAGGGGTCAATAATATGCTAGCCATACATGCACCACCATTTTGCTTTTGTCCTCTAGTGCCCCCAAGTGGTGGGGGAGGCCTTGCACCTGGCTCCAGCAGCCCAGCACAGGTGGTTTTCACTGTGGGCTCTCCTCCCAGTGGCAGCACCCCACCTCATACCTCCAGACAGAGGAAATACTCAGGTAGCACATGCACATACAAATGCAGCAAAAAAATTATGCTCCACACCATCTTTGCAGCAAGTGAGAATTAACATAGCAGCATTAATATTATGCTCTGCACATCATATGACACTGAGCACTGGGAAGATGTTATTTTTGTTTTCCATAATGTGGAAACTTAATTAAATGTCATGGGAGTAAGTATTAAAGGTTGATTTTCTACTGGCTAAGAATTTAATTAAACCAAATCATGGAGAGATGCAGCTGCATTTAGGGAGTAATAACCCAAGTGACTAATTGTCCTAATACACAATTTTCCAATTGGTAATTGACTGTTAGTATTTATGAAAAGAGAAATGAATGCCGTTGCTTGATCATTAACTGGAATGTATGTCAGGAACACCAAGGAGCAGAGCTATAATCTCCACTCATGATTATTTTCTTGCTTATTGGAAAACAATGGAAGTTGCTGACATATTATATATCATACTTTTGCCATTTCTTTTTTTTCTCTCCTGCAGGCTCATTTACTTCAGTCAGCCCTGCAGGCTCCTTCACCAGCCGGTACCCCCTGACAGGCACCTATCTGGATGGCTTTGAGCCTCCTCCTAGTCCTCGCTACAGTTTCACTGATCCTATCACAGCCAACATGGGCGGTCCTGTAACCTTCGAGGCCCCTGAACTACCTGAGGAGACATTGATGGAGGTGAAAAGCAGGAGTCCCACATAGCTCTGTAAAATAATGATAAAGATGTCACTGTTTACCTCCTGTGAATTCTATACATGTATTCAGTAGGAGCTCATTTTCATAAAATCTGTAGACTGTGGAAACATAGAAAATGAGAGGATAGTGAAAGGTAGAGTCTGAGAACTGAATAACGAAAGCCACTAAATGACCGCTCTCCTGTTATGTCATGTGTTCTTCCCACCAATACAGACTGAATGTAAAATCACATTATGGCTTCCTTTGTTTAAAAATGTATTTCTAAACGGTTTCTGTCCCTCGTTCTCTGTCTCTTTCTTTGTGTCTGTGTCGGAGTGCAGCAGGAACATACAGACAATGTGCAGAGACTACGTTTCATGTTGGAATTTGCCTTTTGTATGATGGAGGTTGCTGGAACCCGTGGTGCTGCAGTGATGGGAGAGCAGGGGGACATTCCTCCTCCCTCCTTCCATCAGCAGCAAAGCATGGTAGCAGATCAGATAAGCTCACTGAGCCGAGAGTGGAGGTAAGGCCATATCAGCTATGGCTGTGAGTCCTTGTTGATGTGAATGATATTTTTTATCCAATTCGGATAGGAAATTATTTCAGAGTGGAGCTCGAGGCTTTGCACCATGTTTAGTGAAAAACTGAAACACAGCTTTCGGGAACAGACTGCTTTGTTTTGAATGAGATTTTTCACCAGTGCAAACAGAAACACTGTGCCAGAAATGCAATCCAATGAGGCTTTTCTGTACTGAACAGACAGTTGTAGAGAAAGATGAGGATGAGATTTCTTTCAGGCATTAAGTGATAAAGGCGGTTAGTCAGAGATTGTCTGCACCCTGCAATTCAAAATCCAGTACAGTATTCATTCACGTTTGTTTGTGTCCTATCTGTTCATCTGCAAATCTATCAAATACTGTAGATATTTCACTAAATTGCATGATTGACCTGCAGCATTATGTTGTTTGTATTTTATGTTTCTTTTGTCTGTTTATAATTGAGTACAGTGGTTGTGTGTGTGTGTCTGTGTGTGTAATTGTGTCCTCAGTCATGCAGAACAGTTGGTTCTCTACCTTAAGACTGCAGAACTCTTGTCCACTGCCTTGCACACAGCCATGGAGCGAGTTAAACAGGGCAAACTCTACCCATCTGCTACAGTCAAGCAAGGTCTGAGCCACTTCATCTTATAAGAGAGAGAGTATTGTTAAAATGTCTGATTTGTATGTTAAACAAAAGGAAAAATATTTTGATTCAAGCTGGGTGTGCAGTAGGTGTATTGGTAGTGTTTTAAATTCTTGTTAATTTTCCTGTCCACACACAGTTGTGAGGAGGCTGAACGAGCTCTACAAGTCCAGTGTGGCATCTTGCCGCTTACTCAGCACCCGTCTGGAGCGCTTCTTTTCCAGGAAGCACAGTCTTATGGACCAAATCACCTCCATCACAGCTGAACGTCTGCTGTTCAGCCACACTGTGCAGATGGTGAGCCAGAGGAAGAAATAGAACTTGGAAAGCAGAGAAGAACACAGTGCAACCATTCAGATACTGTATCTGCCACATCCTTTTTTTTTTGTCTCAAAGCATTTGCTCCTGAAATGTTGGTTTGTGGTTACTGGGATCTTTTATATCCACCAAAGCAACTGAATACTAATAAGACCATCTGTACATATTTCCCTTTGTAAAATTGCTCAGAAAAGTATAAGACACAAAGCAGGGGAAAAATACATTTGTAAATGACAGGATTACTTTTCACAGAACTAAGGTTTCGTACATCCCATCAGATTTATAGTAATATTTTAATCTGGACTAAAATCAAACGTATATCAATCTGAGCATCCTGCTGTTATTTCAGGTTCAGGCTGCTGCACTGGATGAAATGTTCCACCAGGGGGAAGCATCAGTCCTGCGCTACCATAAAGCTCTCCTGTTGATGGAGGGCTTGTCTCTGCTGCTCACTGAAAAGGATGACATTCTCAGTGTTAGCAAATGTATGTCTGTCGGCTCATCTTCACTCAGCACCAGTACCTAACACAGTTTGGCCTGGCTATGTTATATTTTAAAGAACAGTTTGCTATTTTAAATTTCCTTAATTCAAAATGTTCCGTTTACACAGTGATGTCTGATTTAATATTTTGGTCTGCACAGGTAGCCAGTTATCAAAGGGCTAATGCATAGAAACAAAACCCAACTAACCTGCATGTCTTCAGGCTAGCCTGGATCACTTAGAGCAAGGCCAAGCTAACACAGCATGGACATGACCTGTTATGCTGAACTACGTTGTCTTTTTTCTCTTTGTTTCTGCAGGTAAGGAGTACATTGAACGCCGCCTCACAGCTTTGCAGTCAGGATTGTGTGTTTGAGTGTCCTACACTGCTTTTTGGTGTAAACAGGATAGCATTTATTTGCACCCTGCACATTACCAATGAGCCAAATCTCTGCATTACATGGTTTTCACTTAGGAATGCTTTAGTTTTCATAAGAAAACTATAGAGCTTCAGTTTTCACTGAACCTCCTGGGTTTGTGCTCTCTGAATGGCTTGCCATTCATTTTGACTTTTGGACAGTGGCAGTGACTTCCCCAACACTAAACATGGATGAGTGTTGGACATGAAGCACTTGTGCTGTGAAAGAATGTCTCAGCTCTCGTCTAGGTGAGAGGACTTTTCTCCTGGCACTGAAGAGAAGAAAATTCCCCTCACTAGGTGTAATACATGCTGAAGCAATTATTGCCAAGTAGTTACATACCCACATACAGTGCATATCTACACATAAACACATAGCGTTTTAAGATGGACAAATATACATGCTACAAATTGCAATAGGCAACTCTATAGAGAAAATTTTATCTTTTACCAAGTGTCTCCTGTACAACTACATATGGATGTGTACTGATGAAGGCTGGTAGTGGCCAAGGATCATTCTCATGAAATTTATCTTTGTCTTATATCAGTGTTTGGTTTCCTGGGTTTGTTTGTTAGACTTTTATCTAATTATTAATTGTTTGCTGGACAGAAGTGTGTGTGTATATAGTATTGCCGCTGTTGGTGGCTGGAAGCACATTCAATCACTGTCTCAAAACTGTTGCCAAATTGAGTTTTGTTTTGTTGTTTCACTGTAGTTTCACTGTAGGTGACTGTTCTGGTTTAGAAAACATCTCTGTATTTAACACTTTACTAATTCTCAATTTCAGAGACCATGTCTCCTCATCGAAACAATAATGTAGCAAGAATTTTGGTAATAGCGGTGGCAGGTATTAAAGCAACAGGCAGACAATTGGTCCAGAAAACACTCAGTACCCCACTGATGCATGCAAACTATAGCTTTTCATTCAAGAGGGACTGAAACTGGTCTGTTAGCATCATTTATCACAATCACGTTAAAGATGCTGCAATAACCTGAAATCTATTTTTCGGATATACAGAAGCTTAGGTGCTGCTGTTGCTGGTCAGCTCTTCACAAGATTCCATAGTCTGTCTTTTTCTGTTGTATCTATCAGTGATGTTGGACTTTGGCAAGTATAATCAAATTTGAATGTAGGGCTGGCAGGAGAAAGACATCACAAATATTAGCCAAATGTTAATTAACATTTAGGCTGATCCTGGGGCTAACTTTTGAAGATTTCTGCACTGTTGAAGTACTGTATAGAACGATTTTGATGGAACATGCTAAACATCAAGCTTTTGGAGATACCTAGAAAGATTAGCTTATTTACAGATTTATATGCGTAGTGCAACGTTAGTTGTAATATAGTTTCTCTCAAAAGGTAATGTATGTTATATGGGTGAAAGTTGCCAAGGAGATGGCAGAAGCTATGAAACCTTGGAAGGATTTCTTTAAGAAGAAAGAGGAGAAGATAAATGGCATTACACTGAAAAAAATAATTTACATCAGTTGTGTTGTATTTCAGAGTAGTCAGTGACAGTTATGCTTGATTTTAGAGTGCTTGTTGAAAATGTGTATTTTACATGTAATATTTGTGTATTTATGACCTTGACCTCAGCCATCCATCCCAATAAGATCCCTTAACTCCCCTAAATTGTAGGCCAGTGGGAAGGGTCAACTTCTATTCTAATTGTTTTCAAAGATACGTTTGTGTGCATTGCATGTGTGGTGTGGTGGTGTTTATGAAATTCATAGACGGTGGGATTTATTTGATCTGATTTTGACTCCAGCTGACAGCGTGGATGTGGCTGACTCTGGTTATGATCCCGCTTTTACATATGAAACAAAATCCAGGATTCCAAGGGTTCCTCTGGTGTAACCCACTGCTATCCTTGTTCCTTGGGGTGTATTTCTTTTGTCTTTCTAAGTTTTTATAATGGTGATTAAGTGCATATTCTAGAATAAGGCAGTAATGTGTGGTCATGGCTGAAGATAGTTTATGATGAGATTATGAAGACAGTCTAGTAGCTTTGTCAGCAGAACAGGAAGGAAGAGGGGGTTTTCCCAGTGAAGATTTCTCTAAATATACATTGTGTATTTGCTTTGTGACCTTTTGTCAGAAAACCTCTGAGGTTTTCTTTGATATTACTGTACCAAGACCATCTTGTGCATATATAATGTTTTTGAGTATACATTTTTAACATCAACTTTTCACCAGGCTTTCTGTCTCTACAGAAGCTGTGCTGTTCAGTCTGCAGAGTGTCGATGTCTCAAAAGACATGTAGCAAGACGTCATAACCGCTTTATTAAACTGATGCATGTGTCACTTGTTATTGTTGCAACATGGCAGTTTATTGCACACCCACCATGTTTTCATGTGTGTAGGCTAAAAGGCTAAAACAATCTCAGAAAAAAAATCCTGTGCATTGAATTAATGCACCTAAAAGGTGATATGAGTGCAGTTACAACATTTTGACTTTCTTTATCAGGTACTTCTCAACATCTGACCACTTCATTTGTTATTGTTCCCTACAGTCATCGCTGTTGTCCATGTTAATGCTGATGATCTTGGGCATGAGTCATAATCCCTATAGTAATAATTTATGCAGCAGTTGAAACAATTAGAGTATAATGGTAAAGCAAGCTGGTATTGGAAGTGCAGAGGTGGGGCCCTGTGACAAGCATATATCTACTTTGCTTAAGTGCCCTTGAGCACAATACTCCCTACCAGCTCTAGGGTTGTTCACAGATTCAGAAAAAGATAAAATTGTGTTTCCATAGTGAAGATTTAGCCTATGTGAACTCCAACAATAGATCTATCATTCATTTGGATTTATCTTTTGTATGTTTGCTAAGAATGTACCTGAATGTTTTCATTTTGTTTTATCCTTACTAATTTCTGTATTACCTGTAAATATTGCAAATTAAGTTATTGTATATGCAGGCATGAAGGGAACAGCACCATACTACCTATACATTTCCAAAGACTAAGCCTTCTGCTGATCTTCCATATTGTCTCTTACTGTTGTAAAAGCATTTTAATGTTGTCTTACCTTTAACAGACACACTGTCTCCATATGTGTGTGACATAACCATTACTCTTTTAGAGTTGCAACATGAATAAAGTGAAAAGAAAGGTAATTTGTCTTATGTTGATATGGTTTTCCTCTGCTGTTGTGTTACCTCATGGAGATTTTTGTTTTACCTGAACTGACACTTCAGCTCATAGAAATCCTTCACTTCTTTAGAATTGTTGTAAATGTTCAGTGCTGTATACCAGTTAAATCTACTCAATCATAAAACTCATAATGTTCATCTCAGCCTTAGAATAATCTAAATTACAGTTTAATAACTACAAGTACTGATTGTACAAGGGATATCATACTGACTTGTTAACCCCACTGTAAGATCAAATAACCTGGACATCAGGGACTTTACTATATGGCTATATAATGGAACATGCCACTATTTTTGGAATGGTTTAGACAATTCTTTACATGCTATCTGTATTTAACAATATTGTAATTTTTTAAAACACGTTCCTACTGTTATATAGATTTTTCATGTTCCCTTACATCCTAAAAACACTAGTTTCTCATAATTTCAATCCAAACAAAATCATATAACGACACATGGCACGCTATGCAGTAATGAATGATTTTCATTAAGTGGCTTTGAACATCTTGGGCTTGGCCTGGGATACACATGTAACACCCCTAATATTATACATTCCCCCTATAGGCAGACGTGCATTATGGTTATTTATTATTATTATCTGTGAAGCGCATTCTTTAAAACTCATAATTCAATTCAAAGTAATTCAAATTTATATTTTCTAAATTACAGTATGTGTTTTACAGTCGATGGTCAGGCACCGCTCACAAGCTGGATGCCGCCCCTAACACGTTCCACCAATCAAAAGGTTATGTTTAAATATTTACTGCATTGTGGTTGGAGGTTGGGTCTGCCATTTCTCTTAGAGGAGGCGGGCCTTATACACAGCTTCCCCTGAGAGCTCCAAGTCAGGGCGAAAATAGGACATGTAGTTGTTATGGCAACGTTGTGTATGAGTGGAGTCCGTGTCAAATTAGTGCAAAAGTAGCCTAATTCAGTGTGCTTGAACCTTTACAGGCGACTTAATACTTTGCGGTTGTGTGATAAGGGCGTGAGTTAACGTGTCCACACTAAAATACAGTGGTAATATAAAGCACAGTTAACGAACCTAATGGTGCTAGTTTGGTTGCTAACTAAGTTCGTGTGGAAGAAGGTCGTCACAGCTGTGCAAAGAAGCAATGTCAAGTAAAAACCTCCCACCGGTGCGCCACTTGCCACACTGGACCCGAGTTGGGCCTTTCGGGAGGATGTGCTCTCCACGACTTGTAGTGGCAAACCAGCTGCAGCCGCTGCCTGCTGTCCCGTCAGCGGACAGAGGACTGGGGAGAGCAGAGGAACAGTCCTGTCACAACGACGGGGACCCACGCGTCGCATCACTACAGAGGAATATACTGTTCCTGCAGCAAGAACACAAGGGGACTCTTGAGAAGCTCCATGCAGAGATAGAGCACCTCAGACGGGAGAATAAAGGTGAAGAACCCCCTTTTGGGTGGAAAAACGAATGACCGTCGTTGGTTTGGTCTCTGGCTATTTCCTAATGGGAAAGTGTTATGGCGTTTATGAAGGATTTGGCTATGGACAAGTAATACACGTTCCAATAGGTAGCCAAGTGACCGTAACAATCCATATTATTCTGTTCCGTTTACAAAGGGTGAACTCAGTAACCTACTGTGTAACACCACAACAGGTGACTGACGGTCCAGATCTATAATGTAATGAATTCGTTAGCCTACCGGCTGTCTCCTGATTAAGTGCTGACAAGAGATGCATTTATTCTAGGTTCAGTGGTCACATAGCACCCCAGGCTTTTGATGGTTACTCAGTGGGAGGTGGACAGAGATCCAGTGTCACTTTACTGAAAACAGGCCACATGCAGTTCCATATAACTTTGTCTCACCACCCACCAGGAGACTCCCCATCTGCCTCACGTCATAACAGCAGCATGCATGGGCTGTTTGCTGGGGCTCTCTGACAAGTTTATGTGTTCCCTAAAGTATACACTCACTAAGATTCTTTTAATATGTTGCAGAGTTGCAGTATAAGCTGATAATGGACTCTCCAAAGGCAAGTACAAAAGGTAAGATGTAATCCTGATTAACTGCTGTATTCATTGCGCTCTGATGTGCACTGCTGGTGTTCTTGCAGGACTGTGATAGTTTCAAGTAAGACAAAGTGGATGAAATGGTCTTTTATGGTATATGTATATTTAGACTATATTGTGAAGTTGATGTAGCACATTTTTAAAATTCAATTGAGAAGCTGTTTAGATAAAATGACCAAATGGGAATGTGTGCCTTTGGCTAATTCTGTGAATTCTAATAATCTAAATCCAATATTTCCACAAACCAGTCCTGCTCATAAATTTGTAAGACTGCCAGCAAATGCCTAATACACCCTCATTTATTAAAGGTCTCTGTACCTTGGTATAAAGAGTAGATCAGCTGACAGATTTCTCTTATCTCCACAGTGTATATTATCATATTGCCCAGGCCTAGTCTAAAGGAGCCCCACAAATAGAATAGAATAGAAAGTCAAGGCTCTCATTCATTATGTCTGAGACACAATATGCCAGCACATTACTTAACCATTTCTAACTATTTTTGGCTTTGGTCCTCTTTCTCCTAGGACTAACACACAGTCAACAAAGCAATAGGCCACTTGCTCAGGGAAGTGATGTCCATGTGGGACTCTGCTTGGAGGAGCCACTACAGGACACATGGCCCTTGCAAGACCAGGCACTGAGGTGAATTTCTGTCCAGCTACAGTACATCGGATTATTATTCACCACTTCACCTGCCTTACTGATGTAGTGTGATTACCTTTTAGGAATGATTTATGTTTTTTACAAGACATTCAGACATGTATCATATTCTTATATTTTTATTATATTTCTTTTCACTTGCTGTTTTTAAAGTGCTTTTAGACAGTGTTACTATTTATCTACTTTATATTTCACTTTGTATTGTTTGGCATTCATTGGGGACAGCAAAGTAAGAATTTCATTGTACAGGGAAACACGTTTCCTTACTGTGCACATGACAATAAACACTATGACTTTGAAAAAGAGAGAGACAAAATCATCAGTAACTCAGATATGATGACATTCATTGTTAATTTAGCAACACAGTACTGAGTAATATGTGTTATATTTTTTACTATTATGATACCATGTTCTGACTTTTCACTGTCCTTGCTACTGTTTTGCTATTGTTTTCTGTATATCACACCTATCAGTCAAACCTGATCAGCAGAGAATATTACCTGCCCCTGTGTTATTTGTCTCTCTCTCTCTCTCTCTCTCTCTACCACTTACTGTACAACAAAAGGTTCCTTTAACAGTTCTTTTGTTTGTTTTAATTGATATTATCTCACTGATTATTGAGGAGAAACATTAGAGAAGACGGTGAAATCCTGGGATCTGCCAGGCTGGACCATGGCCCAGAGGTGAATGGGGGCCTCATCACTTCTTTACAACCTCTACGAATTCACAGCAGCCCCTTTCATCCTCCACGTGCTCCAACACTACAGGAGTGCGAGGTCATCATCCGGCAGCTCTACAATGCTAACAGTTTACAGTCTCAGGAAGTAAGTATCCATCATCAGATAGAGCTAGTCAAAATATGCTTGCTTTCCAATGGTGTGCAATTTAAAAAATACAGTGTTTCTGTGTAAATAATTCATGACGTTACGACAACTCTCTTTCACTTAGCTTATGCGTGTGAAGGCGTTGCTGAGAGATATTGTTCTGAGCAAAAAAATCACCCCAGAAAACTACATTTTGACCAAGGCCTATCTTGTTGATGGTACCCGGTAAAGTGATTTTCATCATCACATACAGTATCCCTAGAAAAAAAACAACCACAGTTGTGACAGATGTTTAACTTTTTTGCACTTTTCAGGAAATCGTCACAAGAAAAAACATTTCCAAAACTCGGTCTTCAATCATTTCCAGCAAAAATGTATGTAAATATATCTCTCGAGACTATTTTATATGAAATAGGTCTTCTATTCCTTTGCCTATATACAAAAGATTGCTCAAATATCAAACATGTCATTTTATGTCAAAAGGCCATAGGCAGGTTATAGTCAAATTTACATATGTCTCCTTTCTCAGGTCAGGACCCCCTCAGTCAGGCATGGTCCTCCCAGCCCTCAAGCAGAGCCTCAGCTCATCTATTGCAGACAGACAGAGGAGGACCCGTGCTGTGCAGAGAGACCGTTTCAAAAGGATTGTGCAGTGACAGGCTCAAAACAGACACAGTGCCAGCTAGATCCACGTTATGATGGGGCTTTTCACCATTCTTCACATAACACATAGTCATAAAACCTATGTGTGCTCTATGGAATAAGTTCATTGATTGATGATCTTTTTTAAGAGATGACTATAATGGGTACAGATGATAGAGAGTTGAACAGATTGGAAAAAACGGTCTATAGACTTAAAAGTTCTTAATTTTGCTCACAAAAAAAAGTGTCTCCAATTTAACTTTATATGGGAACTTATAAATATATTTATTAATTTGACCAAACATTGCATTTTAGGGCATTTGAACTTCAAGGGGCAACATGTCAGACAGTTGACAGTGGCCACTGCAGGGAGTCAGGTGTTTTAGTTCAGCTAATAGGGCATTTGTTGTAACTTTGTCAAAATGATAGCAGAATTGTTGTAACTTTATAGAACTAACTACCAGTCACTTTTAAAACAACCAAGCATTCAAAACCTGTATCAATGCAGACAAGCTAATAAAGCCTCTAAAAGGTACATGTAGTTAATGAGATACAAGAAACTACTTATTTCTATCACACTTTTTGTGCTGTTCAGCATTGTATGGAGCAGTCTCATGCCTTAACTGGCCAAATGTTAAATATTATTCATGTACCTACAGTAGAACTAAGCAGGATTAATACCATACCAACTTTATTTATAAAGCACTAAAAAACAACCAGAGTGGACCAAAGTGCTGTACATTGCAATAAAACAGTACAAATTATAAACCACAAACAACAATATAAAATATAATCAATATAAAAAATAAAAAAAGACTAAAATCAACACAAAAATATCAAAATGCCAGGGAAAATAAATGAGTTTTTAAAAGAGACTGACTATATTTATATAATATTTAATCTCTCTTTCAAAGTCTAAACAATGAATTTTTTAAAATGTGTAGGACAGACTCTTGCACCCACTAGATGGTGGTGTCTCTGAAGAAATTCTTCAGTGAGCATCCATTCACTCAAAGCCTTCAAATGTTTGGCACAGCAGGTCACACACAGGTATGCCATAACTGGCCCTATCATGACCAAAGTCTCACAGAAAAGGCTTTTAATTAATCAGTGTTGAATATGTGCATTCAGGATAGTGACAAGAACACAATTATTTGGACATCCAAATTATGACCTCCCACAAAGTCCATCTTGATGAATTATGGTAACAAAATCAGAATATTTAAAACAACAGGAGTCAACCAGTTACATGGTCAAATGTGTGCCTGCAAATGTCCGGATTTTATTTATTTTTTACTTATATTTCTGAGGAGGACGACACCCTGTTTGCATGTTCTTCCAACTTTTTGCATCACTGCGTCTTTGTGGAAATGTGGGAATTGGCAGGCATAAACCATTAAGATCCATTGGGTGCAAATCTATTAGAATTCAGACAGTGTTGCAGTGATGAGAGCTGCACTGTGTCAGCTGCAGGATTACTGAAACCTCAATAACCAGAGGAGCACGGCTATCTCCTTGGGCTGTATATTTTATTTTCATTAATGAGCAGACATTGTCCCACCACATTGGCCTGCTACTCATGATCAGTTTTCCAACACATTCTTTTGTTAGTATTACTCTTTAGTAAGACTTCATTAGAGACACTGCCCCCCTGCATTTAAATTCATTCACCCTTTCAACATATTGTATGAAGGGTTGGGTAGGTTGGGGAGCTCCAAATCGACGTCACAGTTTCGTGCCAGATAATACTTATTATGAAAATGAAGTGAGGGGAAGTTGGAGAATGGCAGGAAATGAAAATAAGGAAATATGTAAACATGTTTTACTGCTGGTGTAAAATTAGTCTTTACTGAGCAAACATGCTGTTCTTTCATTCATTTATTCATTTTCTACCGTTTAGTCCCTGAAAGGGGTCATGGGGGGGGGGGCGGAGCCAATCCCGTGCTGTTCTTTGCAGTTCAAACATATGAGCTTTCACAAAGTCACAATAAGATACAGACATATTATGTAATTGTTAGGTATTTTTAGTCAGATAGATATTGGATAGATACTTTATGTATTAGAAATGTTTAGTGGAGATAGGATGTCTAGTTAGACTGTTAAATGCTTAGTCATGCTTATGAGTTTCTACAGGGTACATCTGGTCAAGGATACTAGAGAGAAGAGTTGATGACTGTCAGCAGACAGGATGTTTAATATTATTATTATGACGTCACGACATGTTACTAGAAGTCTGTGAGAATGTTTTTAGCTACACACCACTTAATCAACAGACACACACACATTGATTTGCTTCATGTTTTGACTACTGCTATGGCCAGCTGCAAAGCTGGCAACAGAGACGTCGCGGTTGATGTTTCTGTGTAGTATGGGACTAGCCC